GGGTGGGGTGGGGGTCTTACCTGGTCCGGTAGTCGCCGTAGGTTCGGTGATAGGGATGATGGAGCGATCGGAGAAAGACGTTAGAGAGAGACGTTAAAGTTGGAAAGTCGAATGGTTTGAAAAAAATAATTATAAAACTAAATATAAATATGTGTAAAAGATTACAAAGCTATTTGTCTTTCCCCACTTTTACATACCGCACAAGGATTATCAATTCTTGGCCCTTTTAGTAGCCAGTGTTTGGGCTGCCTCACTTCTTAGACAAAAGCCTATTAGTGTAGTACTTTTATTTTTACAAAAATATTATCCGGGCCCAATTGTATAGTATCCGGCCTAGTCCAAAGGTGTAAACAACTACTCCCTCCGTTTCAATTGTAAAAATTACACGGGGCGCCCTATTTGGTCGCCCCCATTTAACTTATACCCACTTTTTAAATAATTCCAGGCCTCTTTCTCCTCCTTCTCTTTCTTCGTTTTCTTCTTCTCCTCCTCCTCCTACTCCTACTCCTCCTTCTCCCCCTTCTTCTTCTTCTTCTTCTTCTTCGGGTGATAATGATTTTATATGGTGGTTGTGAACATATTTTAATGTAGTTTATAATTTTTTACAATGGTGAGCTATTATGACGCTTTATTTTTTACTATTGCTTAGGGTTTCTTCTTCTTCATTTTCTTAATTGCAAAATGGGTTCATTAGATTTATTGTTATTTTAACAAATTGATGATTGGAGTTTGTTCGTGATGATATTTGGAGGTTATGTTTCAAATTTGAGCTCATTTGGAGTAGATTTAGGTATTAAATCGTATATTGAATTTTTATAATTCGAAGAACAAATTTCTATTTCTAGGCAATTTGCACTTCAGGCCTATTTGGCCTTAAGTGCATAAAAACGTTGGTTGCACTACAGACCTTTTGGCCTTAAGTGCATCTGAAGTGCAATTTTTCACTTTAGACTTATTGGCCTTAAGTGTAGCAAAACGTTTGTGGCACTTCAGACCTTTTGCCCTTAAGTGTATCTGAAGTACAATTTTTCACTTCAAACTTATTGGCCTTAAGTGTAGCAAAACGTTTGTTGCACTTCAGACCTTTTGGCCTTAAGTGCATCTGAAGTGCAATTTTTCACTTCAGACTTATTGGCCTTAAGTGCATGAAACCATTGGTTACACTTCACACCTATTTGGCCTTAAGTGCATGTGAAGTGCAAATTTTCACTTCAAACTTATTGGCCTTAAGTGAATGAAAATATTTGTTGCACTTTAGACTTTTTGCTCTTAAGTGCATCTGAAGTGCAATTTTTCACTTCATACTTATTGGCCTTAAGTGCATCTGAAGTGCAATTTTTCACTTCAAACTTATTAGCCTTAAGTGCATGAAACCATTGGTTACACTTCAGGCCTATTTGGCCTTAAGTGAATTTGAAATGCAATTTTTTTATTTTAGACTAATTTTTTTTAACTTCAGACCCGATAAGTCTGAAGTTGATTGTAAAGTGGGTACGTTTGCAAACATTTTTGCAAAGTGGGTATAGGTTCAATTGTGACCCCAAAATCGGGTATAGATGCAAAATTCCCGTATCAATTTATGTGAAATTATTTTTTTATTAGTCTGTGCCAAAAAGAATGATCACATTCCTAATAAGGAAACTTTCCAATTTTCGGATTACAGTAATGCCCTTACCATCTTCTCTTTTGAAGCACTAACTCTAAAAGTAAGTAACTTTTGCATTTTTTGTTATGCTGAATAGTCAACATTTTTATACTTACAATTTCAAACCTCTTCCATGTCGGATTTGGCTTTTCTCTCAATCTTTCTTTTCTAACTTTTTCCTTATTCTTTTTTTTATCCTCACATTGCTTTTTCTCTTATTCTTCTTTGTTGACTTTTTCCCTTTTTTTTCTTTCTTATCCTCACATTTTTTGTTGCGATACCCATTTATTTTTATCCGAATTTGGTTAATTGCAAGCCATTTGTAATTTTTTTTAATTACTCCATTACACCAAAGTCATTAGATAACTAACGGCAAACACTCGCATATGATCCAAATCGTATAGCGGTGAACAACACCAATAAACTTTCAGAAATAGACGATTGCTTTAAAATTTGTTGTAGTCTTCAATTATAGAGGTCAAAATACAATCTTATTCCCAACAAAATGATTTTAATATTTCAAGACAAAATAAGCAACCCTAATGGGATTTTAATTTCTTTATCACAAGTCCTCTAGCTCAAGTGTTCCAATATGTCATAAAATTCCTTATAAATGCATGAGTCTTGACCATTTGGGGATTACAGAATTCCCACAAACATAAACTTATAAATGCACTAGACTTCCCACAAACATAAACTTAACATTTGCAGCTTCTCAAAAAAGCACGAGACTTTACAAGGAGAGAAACTATACAAAACCTACATATCAAACGTTCTGAGCTTCTTTAAATACATAGCCTTTACAAGAGAGGATTCCATAGAAACTACAGACTTGATGTTCATAACTTCTTTAAATACACAAGTCTATGCAAAAAGAGAGGTTATACAAAAACTACATGATGGTTAAGTTTACAAAATATCACATTTGAAGTAGAGCTACAGCTTCATTGACTACGCCAACGTCACAACGAACTTGAATAGGAAGATTTCCTTCTCGTTCTAATCTATCCCTTTTCATATCTTTCAGCACCTCAGCCATGCAAGACTGTAGAGTGAGAAACACATATTTGAGTTGGTGAACTTCCATCTCATTAAAAGATTTTTCAACTGCATTTATTAAGTCATCAATAGTTGAAGGAGTCATTTGTTACTGAAGTGATTGAATAGCTCTGAAGAATCCAAGGTTTAAAACATTTAGATCTGGACTATTAGGAGGTTGAAAGCATAACCTAATATCAAAACCATCCTGTTTGGCAGCTTCATTAAATTCTACGTCGTTGACGCTAAGATGCGGTCTTGCGTTATCTTGTTGGATAAAAATAGGAGCATTTGCATGTGGAAGTGGCCATTTTGATCGAATCGCTGGGAGAACCTTTTTAATTAAACAACTCCTAGTGACATCTTTAGTGACAGATAAAATAGGCTTTGTTTCCAAAGTTCCAGCCACTCGAATTTTGCTACTCCTTTTAGCTGGTTCCTTGACAACAAAAGGAAAGATTCATATTTTCCCTGAAAACAACTCTACTCCATCTTCATCAAACCTAGGGCGTGATACAACGTCCATAAACATAACTTTCATTATAAAATTCTATCACGGCCATAAACATAACTTTCATTATAAAATTCTTACTTTGGCAAAACCTATAAGGGTTTGGTTCTTGTTCTTCGGGGAGAAGATAATACCTTTCCCTTTTTTTTGGCTAGAAAGAACCATTTTTCATCAATATGGACATAGTTAAACATGTCTAAAAATATAGGATTCGAATGAAGTGTACTTGATTCAATCATTGACAAACAGAATTCAAGCCTTGCTTTTTTTTTGTTCTCTGTCAAATGTGGTTTTATGGCATTGGTGTATGCCCTTATATCTCCTTCTTTGAAGCGCCGAAACATAGTTGATGCTGACATATCCACAGCACAAGCCAAAGATCCAATATTTGTTCGACGACCAAAGAGGCACCTCCTTGACCATATCATTGTCGATTTCAAATCGTTTCCTACCAACTCTACCTGCAAGATTTGTAGATACATCTAACTGAGTACCATTATGAACACATTATTTTGTTTGTACCCAAATTCGTTGTACAATGCTTTTTGAAGCATGAAACAGAACATTAGCTCGTTTTAAAGACCCGTAATTAATAGACCCACTTTTGCTTTCCTTTAAAAGGAATTCCGCAATAGCTTGACGTTCCTCAATATTTAGTCGTTTCTTACTCCTAATTGAATCTGATTGACTCATCTATTTACATTAACTACAAACATAAAAGGTACAGAAAAACAGTGAAAGCAGAAAGAATATTCAACATCTCTGTACAAATACAAAAGCTCTTCACAAATTTAAAATTTAGTGTTGCCGCAAATAGAAGAGAGAAATATTTACCGCTCAACTATTACTAATTCAGAGATAGCGCCAAATTTCATTAAGTAAATATTTTGAAAAGAAAAACCTTCAGATCTCATTACAAACTTAGTAATATAGGAATAAAATAAATTTCAAATGAAGTTAGTTTAATATACCTGGGTTATTGAGAAATCCATAGGAAATGTTCTCAACAACTTGAATCTTGGTTCCTAGAGAGAGAATTCAACGAAGACTTTCTATTCAATTGGGTCTCCAATTTCTTTAATTATTGATATAGTATATGGTTGATAAGCATTAGTAATTGAAAGGAAATTGGGAGATTTGGACACGGTAATTGACAGGTTGTCATATGCAGTGAGGAGATGGACTTGTCAGATTTGTTTGACTTTCTATTCTTTAGAAGGTGGGTTGCTCTGATGGTAAGCACCCTCCATTTCCAACCAAGAGGTTGTGAGTTCGAGTCACCCCAAGAGCAAGGTGGAGAGTTCTTGGAGGGAAGGATGCCGAGGGTCTATTGAAAACAGCCTTTCTACCCTAGGGTAGGGGTAAGGTCTGCGTACACACTACCCTCCCCAAATCCCACTAGTGGGATTATACTGGGTTGTTGTTGTTTGTTGTTGTCTATTCTTTAGAAGAGCTTTTCGTTGAATATTAATCAGTGGGCCCTTAAGGGTATTATTGTAACTTGCTACATTTTTAGCTTACATGGCAAAAGTCTTCCCTCATTTATTAAACTCTGTGCCCGTCAAATTGGTTCATATAAATTGAAACTCATGGAGTATAATAGATATATACACTTTAGAATTTTCTAGAAAGGAAGACATTATGAAATAATAAGAAAAAAATCTCTCTTTTCCCTCTCGATTTAGGGTTTCTTTGCTTTAATTTCTCTCAATTGACTCTAATAATGGAGTCTAACATGGTATCAGAGCTTTGCAATCGATCCGTCTTGCTCAGAGCTTTCGTTCGATGGTAACCGTCGAGTTTGATTTAGTGGTTTTGATTCGGAACGGAGATGTTCAGTCGGTACGATTTGGGGACTTCTTCGAGGTTTTCTTTTGTTTCTGCTCTTAGAAGACCTTAGCTTCTTCAGGTGTAAGAAGGAGGGTAAAAACTCTGTCTTTCATCTGCATAGCAACATCTAAGTGTGATTTGGGTTTCTTATGTTCACTCTCGTGTGTGATGTAGTGATATCTGTATTATATTGTTCATCTGCGACTTGTTACTTTGCAAAATTGTTATTACATTTGAATATGGGGAGTCTTTCGTATATTACTGATGGATTTGTTGAGTTCACTTTGGACTCATCTCACCCTTTCTATGTGCATCCATTTGATAGCCCTGGTAGTCAATTGGTTGTTATCCCTTTCAATAGGACTGGCTTTGTTCACTGACGTAGTAGAATACTCACTTTATTGTCTGCTAAAAACAAACTAGGGTTAGATACTGGTAAAGTTTCATAACCTCCACCTAATTTTCCCTATTACCCTTTCTGGGAGCAATGTAATGATATGGTAAACGCTTGGATTACCAATTCATTAACTAGAGAGATAGCAGTGAGTGTTATGTGTCTCAACATTGCTAGGAAAATGTGGAGTGATATAAATGAAAGATTTGGGCAATCTAATGGATCCAAATACATTCAAATCCAAAGGGAAATCAGTTCTACCTCACAAGGGTCTTTTGATATTGCCACCTATTTGACTAGAATAAGGGCCCTCTATGATGAATTGGATTTTGCCTATGTTGGTCCTACATGTTCTAGTAGGGCATTACCCAAGTTTATTGAAGATCAATACCTCTTTCAATTCCTAAGTGGATTAAATGAGTCATACTCCACTGTGAAGAATAGTATCATGCTCATGTCTACACTCCCATCTGTTAATAAACCAAATTCTCTGCTCCAATATGATAAGAGTCAAAAGTAGAATCAGCCTCAAACCTTGGGTTTTTCTGTTAATTTAGCATCATTCTCTGCTACTCTATCTAATTCCAACCATCCAGTCAATCACCAACAAAATGCAAGATCTTTTAATCTAATGATCAACTTTATGTAACGACCCGGCCGGTCGTTTTGACTATTGCAATCTCGTTCCCCCATTTACTGCTCAAATTGTGAATTACAGTTGTTATTTGGCTTGCCGGGGTAATTGGTTTGGGTTCGGTGAGGTTTTGAAATGATTTGGAGCGCTTAGTTCCAAGGTTTAGAATTTAAGTTGAAAAGATTGACCGGATGTTAACTTATGTGTAACGACCCCGGAGAAATTTTGCTAAGAAAATTAAATTTTGGTGGTGCCGATGTAGATCAATTAGTACAAAGATTATAGGGCTCAGACTTTTTGGTTTGAACAATGCACCGATGTGTAAAGAAATTTTTTTTCGGAAATTGGTCATTTCTGCGACCAATATGCAGTCGCAGAATCACTCTGCGGACCGCATAATGGTCGCAAAGTGGATCAGGAGAGGGGCAAGATTGAGAAAAATCTGTGAGGCACTATGCGACCGCAGACCTATTTTGCGGTGCATTATGCTACCGTAGAATAAGTATGCGGGACGCATAATGACCGCAGACCGAGTCAGTAACGCCCAGCTTTGGAGGCCAAATTATGCAGCCGGTATGCGGACCGCATACCTGTTATGGGATCGCATAACTGCGTCAGATCTTCCATTCTTTCTAATTTTTGATCCGACCCAACTTCAATTTATAGTCCTTGAAGCTCATTTTTTAGCCAAAAATCTGATATTTTAGAGAGATGTGAGAGCATTTTAGAGAGAAAAAGTGAAAACTTAGTGATTTATCCATCAATTCTTGTTCAAAGTTTGAAGATTTCACAAGGATCTTGCTAGGGCTTCAAAGAGATAAGAATTTCTTTCCCTAATTCTTCAATTTCGGATTTGGAGTAAAGATGATTGATTAATAGTATGATTCTTGGGTATAGAGTATCATATATACATACCAATAAAGTTATGGAAAGATTGTTAAGTTCAAATGGGTAAGGATTGGGTTGAATATGATAGAAATCTTCATAGACTTTAATTGAAGATTTGAGGGTCGAGTTTGTGTCGGATTTTGGTAAAATTTATATGGTTGGACTCGTGGTTGGATGGACGTTTATATTCTATAACTTTTGTCGGGTTCCGAGACGTGGGCCCTACAGGAGATTTTTGAGTTAATTTCGGATTTTATTGGAAAAATTAGTATTTTCTTATGAAATTAATTATAATAATTTGTATTGACTGATTCGAATTAATTGTGGCTAGATACGAGGTTTTCGGAGACCAATTCTCTTGGCAAGGGCTTAGCGGAATAAATAATTACACGGGTTGAGGTAAGTAACAATTATAAATCTGGTCCTGAGGGTATGAAACCCCGGATTTTGGTATCATGTGATTATTTTGGAGGTGGCACACATGATAGGTGACGGGCGTGTGAGCATGCACCGAGGGGATTGTGACTTGGTCCATCCCGGGAAACTGTAAAGTTGAATAATTTATTGTTAGTTATATGATCTCTATGTATTGAAGAAATTTGACTATAAATCATGTTAGAAATCATGCTTAGGCTATATTATAGTACTGTTGAGACCCGTAGAGGTCGCGTACTTGTTGAATTATTTGCTAATTGATGTCTTTTACTCAGTCATGATTTTTTTGCGTATTATACCTCATTCTTTCTGGATATTTGTTGATATACTATGTTATCTTTGTTTGGGCTGATATTTGTGATTTCTGAGAGCCCGAGAGACTTGAGAGGTTGAGGACTGAGTAAGGTAAGGGTTTTATAGCACGTGAGTTGTCCGTGTAGGATATTATAGTACGTGAGTTGTCCATGTAGATTATGGCGCTTGGGCTGTAGGAGCCCCTCCGGAATCTGTACACAGCCCCAGTGAGCGCGGGTACCCATTGAGTGTGAGTGCTAAAGGCTGAGAGCGAAGTGGTTGAGCTGTTGTGATAAGTTGAGTGACTGTTGTCTAAGAGGCTATACTTGCTTTACATTTGTTGTTGCGCTTGGTTGCTATCTATCATTGTTGTATAATCTCTAAAAGAATTTATATCCGGATTACTTGGAATTGAACTATATAAAATTGATTTGACTTAAACTGCTGGATTTGAAAGCATGTCTATTCTCTGTTGGAACTACTGAAAGTGAACTATGACTGTGTAGCTCGTCATTATCTTCAGTTCCTTAGTTATTATTTTTACTTGCTGAGTTGGTTGTACTCATACTATACCATGTACTTCGTGTGCAGATCCAGGTGTTCCTGAACATAGCGGGTATTAATTATTTCGCGCAGTAGACTTTCAGGAGATTTTGAAATAGATGCCGTGTTCCGCAGACCTTATCTTTCCTTCTCTATCTCCTTGTTTACTGTATTTGGTCTCAGACTATTATAGACCGTATTTTCCAAACTTGTACTCACATTAGATGCTCATGTACTCAGTGACACCAGATTTTGGGAGTGGTGTATCAAAAATTGCTAGATCTTTGGTATTGTATTAAACGTTACATTTTGAAATTTAAAGGAAATCGTGGGTTATTGATGTTGTCGGCTTGTCTAGTACTGAGATAGGTGCCAACACGACAGGTTAGGATTTTGGGTCGTAACACTTTAACCCAAAAGGAACTCATCCTCTGTGTCCTGCAAATACTGGAAAACTCCTGGTCACACAGTAGATAAATGTTATAGGCTTCATGGTTTTCCTAGTGACTTCAAATTCACCAGAAACAAGAGATCTGCTTCTTGAGCTCAAGTAGAAGAAGCTACTGTTGATATGGGTCGTGCAATCAAATCTAGTGAATCCATAACCTATGGTTTCACCAAAGAACAATATCAACACCTCATGTCTTTGTTTCAGCTGGCTCACATCTCTCATGGCATCCATTATTCAACCTCTGGTGACAATGTTGCTTATGCCAACTTTACAGAGGTATGTCATCTACCCATAGATGAATTCTCTATAGTTAATCTTGCAGTACATTGTTTGTCTACTCAGTTAGGAAAAATACATTGGATACTAGATTCAGGTACAACCAATCATATGACCTCTAATAAACAATTCTCACACAATTTACAATCTTTACCTAAACCTTACTTAATAACCCTACCAAATGGCTATAAAATCAAATTAATATTTACTGGTTTATTACAACTTAGAACAAACATTGTTTTGCACAATACTCTTTTAGTTCCTTCATTTCAATTCAACCTTACCAACTTCTTTTTCAATTACAATGCTTAGCATTATTTAGCAGTCATTCTTATTTTTATAGGGCCCTTCTCTCAAGAGATCATTGAAAATTGGTATGGCTTCTCATGGGTTGTACTTTCTGCTCCCTGGTATGGCTGAGTATTCACCTTTTGTTTCTGCTATTCCTTCTGGTAATGCATGTAATGTTTCTAATTTTGTTTCCCATTTTCCTAGTCCCTCTTGTACTTCTTTCACTAGTGTTAATAAAATGAAATTGTTTTGGCATCAAAGATTGGGTAACATGCCTTTTATCTGACATAGTTCCTTATAAGCAGTCTTTCTCCTGTCATATTTGCCCTATGGCTAGGTAACAGAGACTTCCTTTTCCGGAAACTCATATCAAGTCTACTTCTTTTTTCTAATTAGTTCACCTAGATCTCTGGGGGCCAATCACACCAAGACATACAATGGTTGTAGATACTTTCTCACCATTTTTTATGACTTTTCTAGAGTGACCTAGACCCATATTTTATCATGTAAAAGCAATGCCTTTCAATTATTACAGCTTTCACCAAAATGGTCCAAAATCATTTCCACTCTTCTGTTCAAACATTTAGAGCTGCAATGCTTTTGAACTAGGTGGTAGTTATGAAGCAAAGACATTCTTCTCTGAAAATGGGATACTTCACCAAACCACTATTTTTTATACCCCACAACAGAATGGGTTGGTGAGAGAAAACATAAACATTTATTGGAGACCTCTACAACCTTGATTTATCAATCCCATCTTCCTGTCACATATTGGGGTGAATGTGCCTTGACTTCCACTTATATAATCAATAGAATGCCCTCTTCTGTCTTGGGCAATATTTCTCATTTTCAAAGATTACATGGTGTCTCCCCTTATTATGACCATCTTAAATATTTTGGATGCCTCTGCAATGCTACTACTCCTAAACCTGGCAGAGATAAATTCTAATCTAGGGCAATCATATGTGTTTTCCTAGGGTATCCATGTGGTAAAAAGGGTTACAAATTTCTTAATCACACCAATCATTCTATTCTTTTCTCCAAATATATGGCCTTTCATGAGCGTATCTTTTCTTACTCTTCACCTTCTGTCCTTGACCATCCTTTTCCTCTTATTCCTTATGTGGATAGTGTCTCCTCATCCCTCTCTATCTGTACCTTCTCCTCCCTTTTCTGCACCTTCTCATGTTCCTCATATTTCTCCTTCTTCACACCCATCTGATTTACCTCCTTCTGACTCTCCTACTTCCTTATCTAAATCTCCTACCATTACCCTTTTCCATCTTCTCCTCCACTTAGAAAGTCTAGTAGGGTCTGCCATATTCTACCTTATCTTAAGGACTATGTTTGCTCTTTTGCCCTTTCCAACCCTGTATCTGGGATCTCCACGGTTTCCCCTACTGAGCTGCAAATGTAAGAACCTTTTTTTTACCAGCAGGTTGTCTCTCATCCTGTTTAGCAAGAGGCTGTGCTACAGAAATTTCAGGCCCTAGAGGTAAACCATACTTTGGAGATTATTCCCCTTCCTCCTTAAAAGAAGCCTATCCCCAGCAAATGGGTTTATAAGATTAAACAAAAGTCCAATGGCTCAATTAAAAGGTACAAAGCGAGGTTAGTTATTAGAGGTGACACTCAAAATGTGGGTATTTATTATAGTGAGACTTTCTCTCATGTTGTTAAGTTCACCACTATCGAGTGTCTTATTTCTCTTGCTGCCAAGAGGGATTGGACTGTGTATCAACTTGATATAAATAACGCTTTTCTTCATAGTGACCTTCATGAAGAGGTCTACATGAAACTTCCACCTGGTCTTCAGATTTCTGCTTTTGTGGCTTTTGTTTCTTCTCCCTTAGTTTGCAATTTCAACAAGTCTCTTTATGGCCTCAAATAGGCTTCCAGACAATGGTTTTCCAAATTGTCTGAAGCTCTGCTCTCAAGAGGCTACACTTCAAGTGAGAATGATTATTCCTTCTTTACCAGATCTTCTAATACTTCTTTGTGAGTCCTAGTTATATATGTTGATGATATATTACTTGCTGGGGATGATGTAGCTGAGCTTGACAGTCTGAAGTCTTTCTTGGACTCTCAGTTCAAGATTAAAGACCTGGGGTCTGTCCATTATATTTTGGGCCTGGAAGTTATCAAGAATAGTCAGAGATATTGGGTCAGTCAACACAAGCTTGCTTCTGACCTCTTGGATGAATTCAATTGCCATCATTTATCTCTTGTAGTGACTCATATTGAATCTTCTTCCAAGCTCACTTCTGACATGGGCCAGCCCCTTACTGATCCCAGCCTCTACAGTAGACTTGTGCGGAAACTCAACTTTTTACAGCACACTAGACCAAACATTACCTTTTCTGTTCAACACTTGAGTCAATTCCTTCAGACTCCTCAGTTTCCCCATATGTTAGTTGTTATTCATGTTCTCAAGTATTTGTTGAATGATCCTGGCAAGGTATTCTATTATCCAGGTCCCCTGATACATCTCTTTTAGCATACTCTGATTATGATTGGGATGTGCACAGTCTCGCAAGCTAATCACTAATTTTTCATTAGTTTTGGTGGGTTCCCTATTTCTTAGAAGTACAAGAAGTAGCCTACCATATCCCCTTCCTCTGTTGAAGTTGAGTACAGAGCTTTGAGGAAAGTTGTGGCTGAAATTTCCCAGTTGGTTCGTTTATTTGGTGACCTTGGTTTGACCTTCACTTCTCCTATTCAAGTGTTCTGTGACAGCTAGGCTACCCTACACATTGCCAAAATCCTGTTTCCACGAGAGGACCAAGTATATTGACATTGACTGTCATTTTGTTAGAGATTGTTTGCAGTCTCGATTGATTTCTCTTCACCATATTCCTTCTGCCGACCAGCCTGCTGATATTTTGACTAAGTCTCTTGAGAGCCTCTTCAGTATCATTTGCTTGGTAAACTTGGAGTGGCTTCCCCCTCCAGCTTGAGGGGGGTGTTGGGCTGCCTCACTTCTTAGACAAAAGCCCATTAGTGTAGTAGTTTTATTTTTACAAAAATATTATTTGGGCCCAATTGTATAGTACCCGACCCAGTCCAAAGGTGTAAACAAGTATAATAAATATATACACTTTACAATTTTCTGGAAAGGCACACGTTATGAAATAATAAGAAAATATCTCTCTTCTTTCTTTTCCCTCCCGATTTGGGATTTCTCTGCTTTAATTTCTCTCAATCGACCCCAATAATGGAGTCTAACACCCTGCAGATATAACAGATGTAACATGAAACACACACATACCGATGTTCACTTATCCTCGCCAGGGGAATGTGCTATTCCTTTTAAAGTCATCACCATATAGTCATCACTCACGAATTAGTTGTAGACTCGTAAATAAGACGGCTGAGCTTGCACAAGTTTACTTGGACTTTGTATCTACGGATTTGGGTCGAAAGAGAGTTTGGTCGTTCAACCCATTATATATTGTCTTTGGTGATAAAGGGCGAAGTTAACCAGTAGTCACTTTTATGTTTGCTATTAAAAATATATTTAAAGATTAGTCAATTTACCTAAACTTGAGGACTAAGTATCCTGAAAATTTGTATCATGAATTCTTGAGATGCTAATAAGAATTAAGGATTTAGTGTCCTAAATATTTTGAGCTGCTAATTTGAAATTCAGGTCAAACTGATAATTTAAAATTCAGCACATAAGATTCAAATTTTCGGACATAATTTTTGAACTTTAGGACACAATGTCCTAAAGTTTGGGCAAATTAGCTAATCACTAAATACGTTGTAAACTGTTAATATATATTGTAAATAACATACTTAAAAGTGGGTACCTTGTGACATTTGGTTTGAGCCCAATTACATTGTAGCAAGTGATACATTACCATGGTTTAACAAGTGTGATAGACGGGAGAAATTCAGAAATAGCCAGATTTACAAGTGGCCATTCAAAAATAGCCACAGTTTCAAAAGTAATCGAAATTTAGCCACTTTTCATGTCAAGATAAATCTGAACGAAAATACTGTTCAAAATCCGGAAAATACTCCAGCATAATATACTGGAACTCCAGTATAATATATTGGAGTTCCAGCAAAGTATACCAGTCCAGTATATTATGCTGGAAGTTCATACACAGGTGCTCGAATCTCCAGTATATTATGTTGGAACTTTCCGCGTGTTGGAGTTTCAGCATAATATGCTGGAAGTTCATACACGGGTGCACCGAACTCCAGTATATCATGTTGGACCGGTCTCTGTTGCAGTAAAATAGTGACTATTTTTCAATGACTTGGCTAACGCGGACTATTTTTGAATGACCAGTTCGAAAATTGGCTAGCCCGTGCTATTCTTACGTGATAGACGGTAGTGCATGTCCGTTTCGCGGTAAACTGAAGTGAAGGCGCTAAATGGAGTCAAAGGGCCCAAAAAGTTACATTTCATTTCCATGCTTGGATCCACTTAAATCTAAAAGTAATTTTAATTACTTCGCTGATAGTTGTATGTATGTAAACTAATTGAGACACATACGAAAGAACAGAGAGAAGAATATATACTATAAGAAATAATGTTCAATTGTCTTATCTAAGAAGAAGAAAAAGAAACTTAAGATTACAATGATGTTCTCTGTTAATTGGCTGCTAACCCTCAAGAGTTGTTAATGGTATAACAGGAATATTATATCTTTTACTTTTTAGTTAATTATCTCTTACTATAAAAATTCACCAGGCTAAACTGTCTCGCGATAAAACAAAAATAACATTCAATTACTGTAATTTCAACCAAAAAGAAAAATATGCCGTGAACATCCATAAGGGATTGATCATGCATGAAGTTTGGCGGTAAAAAAACAAATCAGCGTTGAGACCATGTGATATTACAGTGTTTCATCAGCGCCATATTGAACTTTAATCATAAAATAATGTGACTGAGATTCTTACCAGTAGTATATAATTAAAAAGATGTGGTCTTCCTGTTTTGACCAGTGCAACTGATTAGAGTATTAACGAATCAATACACTGATACTATAGCATTTTTTAACTTCATCTAACGAACTAGAAAAGACAAAACTATGGCAATATGACGGTGCTAATACAAGGCACAAGATAGAAAAGGCCTTATCTGAAGAGTCATCAAACAAAGCAAAACTGGGTTAGTGCTAGTTTCCTATAGCCAAAATTGTGGAGCTAAAACAAAAAATTTACATGGTTTTCATGGATTTGATCCGTGGAAAGTCTGGTAATTGTTGATTGGAGGTTTGTGACGGGGTTTGCTTCCTGATCCTGGACCTCCACTATAGTCTTTGTTCATCATGTTCAAAATCTCATTCGCATCTTCCAGAAGTTTCTCTGATTCAAGCTTCTGAAAAGACTCACTATTATCAGTTTGATCTGTTGAAGCTAACTTATTGAGTGAATTCCCCGAGTTGCTGCAGCCATTTGCTGGGTTTCTTGAATTTTTGTTCACAGTGCTCTCATCACATGACTGCGTCTCGAAATGAACTAGTCTCAAACAACTAAATATAAGTAGTATTATTACGCATAATTAACCTGAGGATTTAAAAGAATAACCTGATGATGTATTTTCTTTCGCGAATTACCAAGCCGACTGGCCGAACCATTGCTGTTTCCTGCATCGTAAACGAGGAAATACGCAAATTCAGAAGTCATTCCTTTTTTTCTTTACCCTTCCTTATTTCCAGCGAACTAACTAGTTTCACTCAAAGCAAATTAAATAGTCTGATTGAACAATTTAGACACTCTTTGAAACGAGGCAGGGGAGATGAGGAAATAAAGACCAAAAAAGAAAAGATATCTCCATTCACTTTGCTTGTAAAAAGAATAGATGCACTACAAAGAATTGCGATACTCTTGCACATGAGAATATGAAAATTCTTCTAAAATTTTCTTTGATTTTCTATTGGATACATACAAGTATACTAGCCATTTTCACAAGAAAATCTAATTAAAAAAGAAAAGAAAAAGACTAATTAGATCTAAAAAGGCCAAAAAAGTTTCTCTTATTGAGTTCTCTCTCACTCAGTTATTCTTAGGGGGATGCGGTTTTGCCATGTGATAATCAGCATTTAGAGCCACGAAACATCCTGTATTGACCTTCACTGAGTGGCTAGTACTCATTTTACTTGACATCGCTCTCAACTTTCCCTGACTTTTTCGGTTTAAATTTCCAATAGAATGGGTTGCACTTGCACCTGAATTCTTTGAATCTTCCTCTGTCTTGATGCTAGCTTCCACTTGCTTCATGTTTTTCTTCATATTCCTTCTTTCTGCCATCATTTTTCTTCCACCCATTCTTCCATTAGTACTGAGTACAGCAGCTGCTGGTACACCATCCAAAACTTCCTGAATTTTCATTTCTAAATATGAAACTGACATAATTCGAGTGTGTTGTAAATAAATCTGAAATCAACTCAACTTAAAGAATTAGTACCTTCTCCACACTCTGATGACTCCTAGTTAGTTCCATGGTAAAACCATTTTCTGCTTCATGGACCACAACTAAGGTTTGGTTAGCTGCAGAAGAGTAGTCAACTTTTAATTAGATTTTCATAGGAAAAAGAAGGAACTAATCTGTTGATTTAGTAAAACTTAAAACATATTGATGACTGGGGAAAGAAAACATTACGTACCTTGGTCAGTATGAGCAATTGAAACCTTTAAGGTTAGGAAAATGAACAACAGAACAAGCATAAAAGAAGTTAAACTTAAGGACACCATTTTGACTCTTTCTTTTGGTTAAGGGTATATCTGCTGCTCTGCAACAAAGGAGAGGATTCACATGAAAGGAAAGTGGGAGATTTATAGAAAGCCCAAACTCCAAACCCAAATCAAAGATAGGGTTAGAAGTTAGAACAACTAGTTTTTTGTCATTGCTTAAAAAAATGGTATACTGGGCAGAAAAAGTACCTGGGAAAACTCAAAAGACTTACTAATAGAAAAGGAGCAGTAAACAAAATAAAACAATTAAGAAGTGGAAGATGGTCTTTTCTTGGTAGATTAATTCACCGGGATGTTAGGGAAAAGGACTATGGTAGCGTGGAATGGAAGATACAATTGTTTTCCTCTTGTCTGCCGCCATGCATGCTACGAGGATTAGTTTGTTTTGTTGGCTTATATCTACGTCTAAAAAAAAATGTATTCACTAAACTAACCCTAATTAATTGTTAATTCGGCTCTATGTTCTTTGTTGCCTTCTTTCATAAAGTTAATAATTTTTCTTGGCTACTTGGTCATTTGGGAATGGGGCTTTTGAGAGTGTAATTTATACTACTAGGAGTTTTATTTATTACTTTATCCATCACTATATAATTAGTTGTTGGTAAAATTAACGGTGAGCCTAACTCTAGGATTTAGGAGCCTGTCGGTCCTGGTCAAATATTAAACGCACATGATTAGTGAAAATTCTCAGTTATCCTCCAGTGTAATTCACTAGTATAAAAGTATTCTATTATGGTGATTAGCGAGCAGAGTTCCCAAGGAGTCAGTCAGGGGGAGAACCAAAATATTGTTGAAGAGGAAGGAGAAGAACATGGGCAAGTGGTAAAATAAAACTGCCTTGAATCATGAATAATTACTACTATTATAATATAACCACTTTGTTAGCTTTACAGTTAGGTTTTAACAAACAAGTCCAGAACACGAGGGCTCGCCCTCCCATTTTTTATCAGCTTCGACTCTAATTCCAATCAAAGGTTTGAACCGAATTAGTCGTTTGTCTTTGAGGTGTAAACAAACAGTTCTCTGAAAAAGTAATTACCAAGTTCAACTCATAAAGTATTTTACTTAATCCACAGTCATTTACCTTGAGGTGTAAACACACAGTTTGTGAGGAAATCAAACCATCAATTTGTTGACTACTCTTGGAAATTGTTTTCTTGTCGAGGGTGAACCGACTAACTAAAAATTAATAAGCTACTCATCAATAGAAAAATGAGATTTAGCAGGTTGCTTTTTAACTCCTGTGTGAAACGGACACAAAATCAAATGTTTAAGTCTAACTTAAGGAATTACTATTTTGTTTAGGATGGCAAATTAAAGTTTCTTTTAATTCATTACGATTGGTGATTAATTTTACAGTTTAAAATAATACTAGGGGATCGACAAATAAAATGTGGTGATAAGAGTCAGACATTACAGCTGAAAATACTAGAACCGAGGATGATGGAGTTTTGAAACTAGTTGACCGTGGACTAAGTATGCTTAGAGAAAAGCTGTAAAGCAAATTTCGAACAAATTAAAGAAGACAGACAAAAGCGTTGAGACAAAGTGTGAAACTATGAAGGTAACTTTTGCTCTTTGCTTCACCATTCCTCGTTGACTAACTTCCATTGGAGATCCAATTGTTTAAATCACTAAAACTTGCTAGAAAGGTAATCCCAAATTTATTAATCTTTTCTTAAAATCTATAAAATTGACTACATAAGAACTTTCTATTGCTAAATTTTTGTTGGCCTATTAGTTTTTTCATATTAATATACTTAATTACTGATATAACTCCTACTTTTCAAAATATATAACACTTAACACCCTTGTAAAATAAAATATTATTCAAACTATATTTATGTGCGATTTTCGTTGTATACGAGGGTTAAGTGTATCATTCAAAAGTTCAAGGATTGTATCTACAACTGAATTATTTCGGGGAAGGGTTTATTGTTACCAAAAAAAAGAAAAAGCCTTTTAGTTTGCTTTAGGAAATTTCCTGAAAAAACAAAAAGGCAATGGAATCTAACTTCTCACGTCCTCTCCTTTTGATAATCTACTAAAATTACTTTGATTTCATTACACCTCTGTCTACTTATATATGTAATTAGGTCAGTTTGGAGTGTGAAACTTTTGGTGTTTCAAACTCTGGGATTTGGGAAAAGGGAAAATGATGTTTGTGTTTTCAAGACATGGGCACATGAAAGCCATTAGAGGAATGCTTATTAGGTTTGGCATGTCGCTGATCATTCCTCGATTTGGGACTTAAACTTGATGCCAAATCAAAGTTTTTGACAATAACAAAAAGCGTATTACCGGTTTGGAAACTTGCATTTACCTACAAAAAATAGGCTAAATCTTGCTTTGCTTGTACTTTTGAAAACCTTGCATTTTACAGTACTCCCAACCAAGGACCTGCACATTTTAGTTGTTTTAAGAGAAAATTTCGAACTAGCTCCTTCTAATTAAAGCACAGGAGCTATTTCAGTAATAACTGGAACGTTACTTTAATTTTCCTTTTCAAAATACAAAATAGAAGTATTACTAAGTCGTTAAATTCATATAATAGAGATGATAGTTTATAAATAAAATGTAATTTATATTTATTGTCTCCTAGAATGTTAATCGTCTACACCTATTGCCAAAATTTCCTTGGATGCAAATTTTCCAATTTGATATTTGGGATACAGCTACAATGTTTTCGACATCAAATTTCATTGTGTACATTTCATTTATGACTTTATGCGATTTCCACATATCACATGACTTATTTTAGCCATCAAATCTATCAATGGATAACTACATATACATATAAGTAGACGGAGTAATATGGAGTTTATGTTCGAATTTCGGGTAATTGGGTTTAACGTTTTTGATAGATTAGCTAGTAATTAACCACTTAAAAATGTTCTAGACATGAAAACTAAAATGATAGTAGTAGTAGTTTAGCTATGAAAATCGCGATGGTGCTTTTGACTTTGAACAAAATTAATGACTTTGGTCAGCTTTCCCATTTTCGTTTCATCCCCAAAAAAACGCTTTCCACCCATGCCGGCTCTCTCTTCCTCATGTTGATGATTTGAACATACAGCCTCACACGATTTCTTTCGTTTTAGAAAAACTAAGACTAGTGCTTCAAATGTTATAGTGTCATTAGTAGTTCACTTTAAGTGATATACTTATAGAACAAAAAGATGAACTTAAATTGATTTTATTTAACAATGATTAATTAGTTGATCGCTTGCATTTTTTCTTTAAAATTGAGTAGAATAAATGGCTTGAGCAAGTAAGCTAAGAGCGTTGGGTAATGAATTTGAATTTAAACTAATATTATGCGCAGATGAAATAAATTTAAAATCTTATTGAATTAGAACAATATATCATTTACTTACTTTATAGAATACTTTCTTAGTATATGGCTTTTCTATAAATATTCTCTATTTCCTTTTTTTTGGGTAGAAAAATGGGAGTTTTTGGAGCTTGGAAAAGAATTCATATTTCATATGTGAAAATCTTTTTGTCTTCTAATCTAAAACCTGAAATAATACGAAATTGGATGTCAAGTTTATAAGTATTAATTTGTTAAGGAATAGAAAATGCAGAAATGTCAATTAGTAGAAACACTTAAAATATGACTGCATCATAATACATGACATAAACAGTGGTTTTGGAAGTGTAATTTTCAGTTAGTTCAAAAAAAGTGTATCTAATACTTTAAGAAATTATTTATGTATTTAGCATAAAGAATTTTATTTGGGAAAATTACGTGACACGTCAAACATTTACATTATATTTATCATCGTAGCTATTCTCTCAGCAAATTTACTATTCGTAACTATATTTAAATTTTATAGCAAATCCATGAAATAAGAGATTAATTAGTTTGAACTAAGATAAGAGAGCAATAAGCTATCGTAGCTCAGTTAGTTACCGCACCTGCTTAGTTCACAAGGAGTAGCCACAATAGAGAATGCTAGTCATAATAAGAACAGCTCAACAAGAAAGGAAATACTATGTAACAACGGTCCACAATATACATTTCGACAACGAGGGAGCTAACACAAGTCGAATAATTCCAAATAAGGACAAGTCAACTAAATTATAGGATATCTAACTTCTTTTAAGGTTGCGCAATTAGGAAAGAGATACAACAAATTCAATAAGGATAAGCAGTAGAAAGATAATCATAGTCTCAATTAAGGATGAACAATTACATAAGAGATAATTATAACTTCAAACAAAGATAAGCAGTTAGGAAAGGATAACATGGCAATAGAAAAGATAACAACTTCAGTTAAGGTACGGATGAATCAAATAAGCAACAAGAGTGGATCATGAAGCAATTAATTCTAATTAAAGCAGGTGGAGGTGAAACTAGTAATTAAGAGACGTATTCATAACATAACAGCTACATAATCAGTGAATACAAGGACCTAAGAACCCTAAAAGGCCAATTTTCCACAAATAAGTCCGAGCATGTGCTCGTCACCTCACGTACACGGACTACAATTAGCATAGAAGACTCAAATCCTAAGAGGTAGTTCTCCCCACAAGGTTAGGCAAGATACTTACCTCAAAGCAGACAGACCGATACTCTAAAATGAACTTCTCGGGTGAAATGACCTTCGGACGGCTCAAATCTAGCTAAAATAACTTCAAAGCACAAATAAAACTCATAGGAAACTATTCCGGATCATAAAGCCTCAATCTTTATCAACATCCAAAAATCAACCCAAAAGTCGACCCCCGGGCCCGCACCTCGGAACCCGACAAATTTTACAAAATCGGAACACCCATTCCGATACGAGCTCAACCGTACTAAAATTATCAAATTCCGATACCATTTGGTCCTTCAAATCATCATTTTTTTCATTTTTGAAAGCTTTTACAATTTTTCCCAAATTTTCCTTTAGATTTTCATGAATGTGATGTTAAATCTAAGGTATAATCACAAAATATAATTTAAAATTGATTAGAGGTGCTTACCCAATGATTGTAGATGAAATTCCTATCTCAAAATCGCCCATTCTCGGACCTAAGGTTCAAAATATGATAAAATGAAGCTAAAACTTGGAATGCCCAGCATTTAGGAGGCTGCAGATGTCGCATTTGCAACAGGGGGTTCGCAAATGCGACCTCTACAAATGCGAACGAAACATCGCAGATGCGACCCCTAATAAACCAGACGAAGATCGCCTTTGCGATCAAACATTCACAAATGCGAAACAACAGTTGCCGCAAAAGCGAACAATGTCTTCGCAAAAGCGGACAGATACACATCGCAAATG